AATGAAATCTACCCAGCCCACAAGTACAGTCATGATCTTTTTTAACACCCTGACTGGTTTATCAAAGTGCACTGCCTTGAATGCCCCAAGGCTTGTTAGGACAAGATTGTCTTCTTTTGCAGTGAACCCTGTAAGGGACTGTAAAACTAACTGCCCAGTTCTCTTCCTCATAGCAGAAAGAACGTAAAAGCCAGTCGTCCAGAAACTGCAGCTCCCTGCAGTTATTTCTCCAGCCACCCATATAAACTGACCCTGAACGATTTGCTTGCAGTTGGTGAAGTGTACTCATGCAGTAATTCCCTTATCATAACATAAGAAGGTTTTTTCTACCTGATTCTGTCCTTTCCCAAGGAATCTAAGTACCAAAACTTGGTCTTTATAGATCTGATGTCAATTTTGCAAAGATCCAATTTGCCAGTGATACTTATTCCAAGACAACTCAAACTCTACTACTGGACAGATTATGGAGATACTTCCGGACAATTTGAATGACATTTGTCAGTCTTATAGTCTACCTGGATGTCTAACCTTCATCAATGTATTATGCTACTTACTTGCCCCCCTGTACTGCCACCCCCACTGTGCTCCGTGGTGTAGACATGGGTGCGACATAGTTCCACTGCCGAGCCTGCGGGTCCCACCTCTCCACCGTGTTCAGGTAACTCCACCCATCATGGCCACCTACAGCATACATCGGCCCCTCCAGTACTGCAACACCTGATCAAAAAATAATTGTACGGTTCTTAATGGCAAATGTGCAGATCTTGGCAAATTGGTAACAGTATTTGGACAGTATAAATGATTAGCCGAAAGGCCCTGTGGTAATTGCTCTACTGTGCAGGGAGGGAAGTTGTGTGAAGTGCCTTTCCCATGGGCACAAAATTGAAGGGAATGCTGGGAGACCTGATATTTTTTATGAGAGACAAGCAGTCATAGTGTCACCACAGAGTTTCCTAAATCTAACATCCAACAAGTATATCTATACTACAACAATAAATGCCTGATCATTCCTTACCTAGCCCATGTCTGTGTGTTGACATCGGCGGCATCGAGGTCCACTGTTTGGTTTTGGGGTTGTAACATTCTGTGGTATTTAAAGTTTTCAGTCCGTCTCTGCCTCCGACTACGTACAGTTTCTCCTCTAAGACTGCCACCCCGAACTGCAGCCTGCGTCCGTTCATACTGGCCACCTGCGTCCAGGTGTTTGTGCGAAGGTCATACTTCTCTATACTGGTTGCACCTGGGAGTGGGAAGGTGAGGGGGGAGAATTAATTTCAACTTTAATTTATTTGCTTCAAACATTCAAATGCTGAGGCTTATTCTGGGTACAAAAACTCAAAGAATTCAGGTACATGTATAAAGTTCTCTTATGATGAGACTCTTCCTTAGACTTTGAAAAGAGTTTGCTACTTGAGATGCACCCTTTCTCTTCATCAACCAGGTAAAATCTTTGATGTTCTCTTGTCACATGGTAATTATCATGTGACAAGAGACAGTCATATACAGGCTTGAGGTAGTGTCTTGTCCCTTCTACAAGGCAGACCCTACGTGTAGATGAGCTCACCTTTAGTTGAGTCCATCCCACCGACAGCGAAGAGTGATCCGACAGTGGACTTCCTGGGCTTGGTCCTGGGGCTTTGCATCATGGGTCTCCTCTCCGGGAGGAGGTGGTACTTCATGGCCTCCATCAGCAGCTTCTGGCACTCCGGCTGCTCTTGGATCAACATGTTGGTCTCTATGTGGTCAGCTAGGAACTGCCAGTTACAAAACAGTGTAACATGCTGTGTTAGAGAATTTTGTCAAACATACATTTGTATACTCAGTTCTTCGATATAATACTGTAAATTCCTGATTAAAGTCTGCACCCCCAATAATTCAAGACTGGTTGCAGACAAATCGGCATCAGATCATCTCCCACTGAACCAATCCAGAAAGCACTTTGTTCTCCTTGGCCTTTCGTAGTTCTTTCAAATTGGTACCATGCAGATTTGTAACACAACGCAACCTCTTCGGATCAACTTATTATAAAAATGATTCAAAAATCCAAGGAGCCAAGGATTTGGTACAGCCCGAGTACCTGTGGTGTGAGGAGGGGGAGTCTGATATGACACAGCAGTCTGGCCAGGTCCTTTTTCCTGGAGTCTGGCTCGTGTTTCACCCACAGCAGCAGTGCCTGGAAGATGGTCTCCTCCCCGGGAACGTTCAGGTCATCGCTGGAGAACAGCTTTGCGACCTCCCCCGACGGCAGCATCAGGAACTCCTGGTTCTTTATCACCTCACAGAAGTTTTCCTATGAGAAAAAACATCATATCAAAAACCATCAGGCATCATATTCAAATCAAAATGCTCCGTGGTGAAACAAAGCAAGGAATAGTAATAGGAATTTCTAAGAGATATGTGCACAACAATTCAGAAAGTATATGGTTTCAAAGGCTTGGATCTTAACCTACAAGGTAGTACTCTGTAGCCATACTGGCTTCT